CCCACTTTCCTCTCCTTCCCCAGGGACAGCGCCTTTGTGGGGCAGGGCTGGTGTGTGGTGGAGCCAGCCCTTACTTAGCACAGGATGAGCTGGGGGGGAAGAGGAGCGGGGAGGCACCAGGGAACAGAAAGGAAACTCTGCTGTCAGCACCCAGGCAAATGCCAGTCCATGGCCTGTGAGGCAGCAGAGACTAGTGGGTAGGGGGCAAGTCCTCAGGCCTGACAGAGATTGATCCGGGACCCACAGATCATATTTTCATGAATGACTTTGGCACCACAGGGAAGCGTGTGCTGATGCACTTTGCTGATGACAAAGAGCTGGGTGCTGTCAATGCAGAGGGTACTCAGAATATCGTACAGGAAGACACACCCGTCCTAGAGAACTGGGGTTCTAGCTGTGGGATGAAATTTAGTAGTACAGTGTGAGGTTTTGCACTTAGGGATGGATAAGCCTTTCTGCTATAAACTGGGGACACATCAGTTGGAAATGACAGAGGAGAAAGACTAGGCATAGTGGTCAATTACAGGATGACTGAGAGTCGTCAGTGTAGCGCAGGCATAAAAATGGCAAATGTGATCGTTGGGTGTAACAAGTGAAGTATTTCTAGGAGAGATCAGGATGTATTAATGCCATTGTCTCCAGCCCTGGAAAGACTTCACTTGAAACACCACAATTCTGATTACCTATGTTCAGGAAAGCTACATTCAAAATGGAGCAGGTTTGAAGAAGGGCTAGTAGGAGGACTAGGGGAATGGAGGGCCTAATTTAGGACAGGAGACTAAAAGAGCTTGGCTTGTTTAGCCAGCAAAGCAAAGGCAGAGAGGATATGGTTGCACCCTATAAATACATGAGGAGGAATAAAGAGCTATTGAAGCTAAAGGGCAGTGTTGCACCAAGAACAAATACGTATAAATCGGCCATGAATAAACTGGCAATGAGACAAGTTTCTGCACATCTGAGCTGGAGCTTTGGTGAGTTTGTGACTGGGGTTGCACTTTATGAATGGAATTGTAGGCACACAGGACCATGTATAAACAATTAAAGGAGTTGAGAAGTGAAGTGATAGAGTTACCTGTGATAGCAGGGGACAGGACTTGATTACTACAGAGGTCCCTTCTAGTCCGGTGTCTTAATCCTCCTTTGACATGGCCAAAAACTAAAACGGCAAGTTCCTAATTTGAATATCAAACTTTAAAAATGCTATTTCCAAACTATTTTGAGAATAGCACTTTTCTGCCATGTTTCATTGAAATACAGGTGATAAACAAGAGGGCTACGTCTAGACTGGCATGATTTTCTGCAAATGCCATTTGTGGAAAAGAGTGTCTAGATTGGCACTGACGCTTTTCCACAAAAGCACTTTTTGCGGAAAAGCATCCGTGCCAATCTAGACACAGTTTTGCACAAGAAAGCCCCGATCGCCATTTTCGCCATCGGGGCTTTTTTGCGCAAAACAGTTTTTAGCTGTCTACACTGGCCCTCTCGCGCAAAAACATTCCCGGAAAAGGGCTTTGGCCCGAATGGGAACGTCAAAGCATTTGTTCAAAAACTGATTTCAGACAGTAGAACGTCAGTGCTTTTGCGCAAAATCAAGCGGCCAGTGTAGACAGCTAGCAAGTTTTTGCGCAAAAGTGGCTGCTTTTGCGGAAAAACTTGCCAGTCTAGACGCAGCTGAGGAGTCAGCCTGGGACTCACTTTAGTTCCCACAAAGAGGAGAGGAAAGGAAAAGTGTGTGAGCCTTAACTTTGTGTATGCGATACATGCTCCTGGGCTAATTCCTCACCCTCTCACTGAATCATACTGGATTAAGCTGGAAAGTGAAGTGTGAAGGGTTCATTCTAGAATGTGAGTGGTTTACTAGTTATGGTTAACTGGTGAGGAATGGAGCAACCCCGCGGGACCTACTGTGGGCAGGGGGTACTCCAGCCCAGCCAAAGCAGATCTCATCCCAGTATGCCACAGGCAGTGTGTGTATTTTGGGGGAGGGGTGCTCTAGCCCATTTGGGCTGGAGTGGCCCCCACCTGCTCCCATTTAATCAGTTAACTGGTTAAAACAATGTTTTATAGTTAATTAATTAAACGGAATTTTACATCCCTAATTCTTTCTGTACTTGGGACAGAAGCCATGTCTGTGACACACGCTCATCAGGAAACTCATCAGGTGAAAACTCTTGGTAAAGGCATGTTGTTGCAGCAGCAATTTGGACTAGAGGTAAACTGTAAGGCTTGATTAAATGAAGTTAATAGTTGAGCTTTGAGACTAATATTCAAGGAACCAGAAGGAATTTGTTAACAGAATAAAACAAAATACAGACATGCTCGCATGCTTTATAACGCTGACTAATAGCAACACCCAATTAGAGTTCTTTATTAATGATAAAATCCAACTGGGCCACACTTTATTCAGCCAAAAGCATGTTTATGGGCTCCTTATAACAGGAGCCACAAACATGGATAAAAAACAGTGAAATAAGATCTGCTGAGCAAGGGGATCAGAGTTGGAGATGAGTCCTTTAAGACACGTTTTCTCTTGTCCTTTGGAGAGCAACACATCCAACTCTTTATTACTGGAAGGTTGTCTTGACCTGAGAGTATTGGGCTTACCAAGGAGCCAAGCATTTCATGTATAGAGGAGCAGAAATATGGGCTAAGAGCATCATCGGTGGTATTTTATGCTTGTTGTGATTTGATTTGTAACGTTGCCCTCTGAATGAAGAACTGGAAGCTGTTAGCTCCTGGCTTGATACAGAGAATGGGTGGTTGATAAAAAAAAGTCTGAGGAACCAGGATAACCTGAGAAGTAGCGAGGCATGGATCTCAGATAGTAGGCCTGCATACTAGTTCCCTTTCTTGGCTGGGGAATGGGGAGCCAACTGAGTTGTATCAATAACCTGACAGTTCTGGATGGCTCCCAGCAGAGGAGGTATCAGAAGGTGAGCAGAGATTCAGCGGTGTCTCAGAAAAATGTGCACTGCTAAAATAGCACACTTTGCCCCAGGGCTCATGAGAACTCAGTACCACACAGTTCTGCCACCAGAGATGATCAGACAATTCTTACTGATGCCGCTGTATCTGTCATCCCATAGTCTACACTGAAGGTGGAGGCCATTCCCTGCTGGGCCAGCAGTTCCTGTACCAGCACAAGCTCATGTCTCAGCTCCTGGGAAGTGCAGTGGATCTCTGAGGCACTGGTGTGGGTCTTTTCCAGAATATCCAGCACGTGGACCAGAAGTGTAGCCTTCACCAGCAGCACTGTGACAGCAGCATGAACCTTGGCACACCCGAGAGCTTTCATGTGCAAAGGTGCAATGGCATCTAAAATAGAGGGAGCAGAAAAAGGTATTCATAGGATTAGGGTGTAGAGAGTATCAGAGGCCATCAAAAGTAATTTAGAGAGACAGATGAGAGGGAAAATTATTCCCATTCTCAAAGTCCCATCTTCTCCACAAGCCACATTTCCCTGTATGAAAGAAAAACCAACGCCACCTTCAATGGAATCTTGACGTGCACTCACAGCAGCAGCACAAAGGTGCAGAGCCAAGAATACACATCAGGGGCTGCTGGCTTTTTTCTGTCACTGGTACAGGTGAATTCCAAGAACAGCTGACTTGGCCTATCGATACATGGCCGAGACAAGGACTTGTGCTTAAGCCAGCACTAAGCTTCTCTGTTTACTATTTAGTCTTCTTCATTTAGAACAAGTATCCAATCTAATCTCGTGCAGGGCTGCTCCACTGGGCATTTGCCTCAGCTTACCTTGGCTGCACAGAACCTAACCAGGGCCTCCCCAGCATCACAGAGTTAGTATGGAGATTACATTGCAGTTTCTCTTGCCCAGGCAAATAGTTTACCATGCAGGTAACATCACAGGGATTTCAGGAAATTATTTGGATAATTTCCAGTTATCCAAAATCTCCAAGCCCTTTCTTATTCTCCAGTGTAACTGTAGGGTAAATTGAGGTAGCCCATGGTATCTTGCTGAGAACTGACAAACTCAGATCTGAAAGTATCAGGCCAAGCCTGGGAAACATACAGTTCAAAAGTTACTGTGACCCTGGTTCCCCTGGCAACCACATTCCAAAAGGGCTTCACTTTGATAAGGCAGGTACCAAACAACCAAACAGCCGCGCGGGATTGTTTTTCATTGTCTGCTTTGTTCCTAGAAAATAAGCTTGGATCCCAAAGATTACGCCAAGGCAATACCACCCCCGCAGGAGACGCATTATATTTCCGGCCGACAAAATGACCATCAGCATGCCTTTGTTTATGTTGGCTTATTTAGCTTGTTAGGAATAACTACCTGTATTAGTGATAACATGTTTAATTGGCAATGGGTGGAGATATTGGGTAACTGTCATAGAGCATTGGCTTATGTGCATATCTCACTTCCGCTGCTAGACCTATCAAATCACTTCTCCTCCATCCATCTGCTACCTATATAATCTAATGTATGTTTTGGTTAAGTTAGTGCTCACCAGGCTAACCCCTGATGGGTACTCCACCAGCTGTGTGAACCAATAAATCCTCTGCTTGTTTTCACCTGCACCCAGCATGTCCAGAAATTATTCGCTATAGCTACCTTTAAGTGGTACACTAGGGGGAGCTGGTTGAACAGCGTGGCAAATTTGGCAAAGAAACAGAACACACATTATGGTTGTTAGGTGCTCAGACCCCATAAAGGGAACATTATGGAATGTGGTGGCTGTTCCCTGGCTTTTCCTTCTGCACTCTTCATTTTGCTTGTCCCGCTCTTGATGCTATATGAAGGAAGGCTGCTTTTGGGGAGAGAGGGAATATAACAGGTTTCTCTGCATGTGGATTGTGGGCTGGAGCCCAAGTGAACTGTATAAATCTGACTGAGAACAAAATTGAAAAAAGGTAAAGAATACAATGAAGTGATTTTAAACCCCAACTTTAACATACCATTGAAGTTACACATGGCAGGAGGTAATGTACCCCTGTGTGTCTTCTATTTTAGTTTATTTAAAGCAATTATTCTAGCATCCCATACTTAAAAGGCTGTGTCTAGACTGGCATGATTTTCCGGAAATATATTTAACAGAAAAGTTTTTCCATTAAAAGCATATCCGCAAAATCATGTCTAGATTGGCAAATGCCTTTGTGCAAAAGATTTGCTTTTGCGCAAAAGCATCCATGGCCAGTCTAGACGCAATTTTGTGCAAGAAAGCCCCGATCGCCATTTTAGCCATCGGGACTTTTTTGCGCAAAACAATTCTTTCCTGTCTACACTGGCCCTCTTGAGCAAGTATTCTTGCGCAAGAGGGCTTTTTCCCGAGCGGAAGCAGGAAAGTATTTGCTCAAGAAGCACTGATTTTATACATTACAAGTCAGTGTTCTTGCACAAATTCAAGCGGCCAGTGTAGACAGCTGGCAAGTTTTTGCACAAAAGCAGCTGCTTTTGCGCAAAATCTTGCCAGTCTAGACACACCCAAAGAGAGTGACAATTAGTGCAGGTCCTACATATAAACAAATCTGTGCTTTACAAACACATATGCTGTATGCCACCAGCCTGTCTTTGCTTTGAAGGCTGCCCATCATGGTAAGGGATTAGAAGCAATGTCAATGCAGCTACATACCTTGGCTCCACCAGTGCCTGCAGTGCTGTAGGCTGTGTAAGATGCTGGGCACAGTGGCTCTCAGCCAGCGTTGAATGAACTCACAAATCTGGGTGGAGGCACATACCCTGTCTAGCAGCTGGAGGAGGAAAGGGAGCAGCAGTTGCGATAAGACAGCCGGCTCTGCAAAAACATTGGGTTCATCCTCTTTATACAGACTGACAGCTCTGAAAGGGAAGCCAAGTCAAATGATCAACCCCATGTTTTGTCTGGTTCGCCGATCTGACCCCTGCCCTCGCAAAACAATTTCACGGTAGGTACCTGCTGTGATGCTACAGTGATGGGTGTCATGTGAGCAGACAGGGCTTTTCGTACTTGTGACTAGAAAGGAGGGGATTTCACATCTTTTGTGTTTGCAGACTGAAAGGACCAGGTTCCTTGGGATGCTGTCAATAATAATATTGCCCATCTATAGAGCACAGTTTTACATCACTGCACTGCCATTAACTGCTTAAACCCACCCAACTTCCTTGGTACAGCCTGACATATCATCTCCACTCTGCACAAGGAGAAGTAGAAGGTTAAAGCCATGATTTTCAAAAGTGAGTGCCTAAACAAAGCAAGGCACATAAGTGCCCTGCTTTTGAGGGGTGATGAGCAAAGGGAGCAATGGGTGCTCACTACCTCAAAAGAAAAAATCAGGCCGCTTTTTCAGGTGCCTGAATAGAGATGTGGGTGCTTACATTTAGGTCAGGATTTTCACAGAGGTGGACTAAGTGCCTTGCCCAAGGTCACACAGTGAGTCTGTGGCAGAGCTGGGTATAGAAATCAGCAGGCCCCACCTTCTATTTTCTGGCTCACTTGCATGCATTCTGGACTTTATTTAAAAAACAAAACAAAGAAACTCTTCAACCCATTTATTTGCAGGGCCTAGTTTTTTATCTGCACTTATAAGTCTTCTGGAAGGCTTTTTGTTCTGGAACACCCCCCAGGAGCATGGACAAAACCAAACTGCACTTGCTCTTTTCACTCCTCTGAGGAGGTATTGCATTCCCCTTCTTGCCCTTTTCTGGCATGACGACTTGCATGTCTGAGCTGGCCCTTTCCAAGCTAGTGACTTGGGCTCTCTTCTAGGAGGCATCAGAATTCTCCTGATTTACCTTGGTTCCTGAAGCAGGTTTCCCAAACCTAATCTGCACTGTGGCTGCTTTGCAATGCACAGCTGGCAGAACCAGCCATGGCTAGATCTCTCTAAGGCACTGAGATACTCCTGTGGCATGAAACAATCGTAGCGGCTCTGGAGCCATTTCCAGTGTTTGCAGCTACCTATGCTACAGCAGTCCCCTGCTTTTCTCCCCGCCCCCTTGGGGCTAATGCCAGACAATATAAGTTAGAGCAACTGCTCTAACAAACACTAGATATTGGGCCAGTACAAAGTGGAATGGAAGCCTGCCGTGTGCCCTTGCTGGCCACAGCTGAAATGTTTCTAGTGTGTGGCTCTTGGGGAGGGAGGTGTATGTGTGTCCTTAATTCCGACTTAGAATTATAGCCGCTCACTTGTTGGCCTCCAGTTCTGTCAAGATGCTGCTGACGTCCAGGGTGGGGAGGTGCCGTAGCAAAGCTTCAAAGGTTTCTTGGCAGCCCCAGAACTTTTCCAGCAGGACATGCAGCAGGCACACCAGCCCTCTGTTACCCTGGATGAAAACACAACTATCCCAAGGCTGGGCTCCTGACATGTGCTGAACAAGGCTGGCAAAGACAGAGGCTTCACGCCGTACTTCCTGATCCTCATCTTGTAGCAGGTAAATACCCATGTCCATCAGACTGAGTGGAAAAAGAAAGCAGATTTCATTTTAGTAGTGTGGTGCTATCTAGAGCATTTCCAGGTAGTCTAAATACACTGCCATGGGGTAATCCTACACAACGAGGTTGTAATTAACAGGAAACTTCTTTAAATGCTTAGCGGGTCAACATCATCGTGACTTGTTTCTGATAGTGCTTGCAAAGTGCCAGGTGTTACCTACACAAAAGGCCCTGCCCTCAAGAACTCACTCTTTAAAGCAGGTGTTGGCAAATACCATTCCATGAGCAGGAACCAGCCCACCAGGGTTACCTCCTCGCAGATCTAAGCAATCACAGCTCCCATTGGCTGTGAATTACCGTCCCCAGCCAATGGAAGCTGTGGGAAGCAGGGTCCTGGTCTGCACCACTTCCCAAGTCTCCCCTTGGCTGGGAATAGTGATTAATGGCCAACGGGAGCTGCGATCTGGTACCCATGGACGTGCAGGTAAATATAGCCACAGTAGCCTGCCAAGGGCTAACCCTGGCGAACTCTCACTATGTTATTGCCCACCCCTGCTTTCAAGTGACAAAGCTGACAAATGAAAGCCAGACGGACTACACTCGCAGAGTGGTCAAATGGAAATTAGCCACAGCCTGGAAATGTGCAACAAAGATTCTTTCTTCTCCCTTTCGTAAAGTAACATACAATATCCTCAAGTACCCCATAACCATGTCACAATTAGTGCATCAATGCAAAGTACCCATCCAACATTATTTTGAGGATTTTTACAAGAATATTGTTGGAGAGAGTTGGACCCAATGTTTATATTAGGTTTATAAAAATATTGTTTTACAAACCCTTAGATCAAGGACACATTTCCAATATTTTTATTTAAACTCCAACTACAAGTCTTATTTAAATTTAAACATTCCTATGTTTTGTTTGCAACTGGAATATTGCAGAGTTGTGTTATCCTGCATGAGGATCAGAAAGTGAAACAAACGAGTTCATGTTCATTTTCCAGACGGAGTGAAATGCAGAGAGTAAATAAACAGTATCTCCAGTGAAAGGGAACCAAGGCATTCAGGTATTAGCAGCAGTAGCAGCAGCAACATAAGCAAGATCTTGTTTTTAAAATCCAATTTGTAACCTGGCAGTGTCCCCTTTAATATTCTTTACAGTGGTTTTCCTAAGGCAAGTCTGCTATTAAATGAACAAGTTATTAACCTTTAGTCCCAGCAGCTGGCATTCTAACTGCTGTGGCAGTACTAGAAATTATTATTGACAATAACCATCCAGAAAACCTGAATTTTTGTGGCCCCTGATAACAAGCATTGCTCAAAGTCAAGCTGAATTAGCTCTTGCCAGGAAATTAAAAATAAAAAGAGCAGTTTTAATTATATAAACAAAAGGAAAATAAGGATGGATGATTTTGGGTTGCTATGCAATGTGGATGGGAAGACATAGACCAAAAAATAAATGATAATATAGAACACATGCATAAAGGCCATATCACTGCTGGATGTTTGTGTCTAGAAATGGACATTCCCATACCTGAGATGGAAGAAAAACTTAGAGTTTAATATGCTCCAATAAGGCAACAAGAGAACTTCCATCCCAGAATATTGAAAGAACTGGCACATGGGTTTGTTGTAGCAAGGACTTTAATAAATCTGGCTATTTGGGAGCAATACCATATAACTGGAGAATGTCTAACATCCCTATATTTAAGATATGGGACAGAAATGAACCAGGCAGTTACAGTGTTGATCTGACCTCAAGAGTACAGAAGGCTTTAAAGCAAACTGAAAGAATAATTAAATTTGTGAAGATAAACCGTAACATGGGTTTACCAAAGACAGATCATGCCAAACTACCCAAGGTTTCTTTGAGAAATAACTGGTTTTTTTAATAAGGGGGTGTAGTACATCTAATATACTTGGACTTCAGTAAACCATGTGCCACATGGGAAATTATTAGTTAAATTAGGGGCAATAGGGCTGATGCAAGAACTAGAAGATGGATAAGGATAAGGAGAAAAAATAATGGGTTGTGCTGAAAGGTGAACTATTGGACTGAAGGAAGGTTACTATTGGAGTTCCCCAAGGATGGATCTTAGGACCAATCTTATTCAATATTTTTATCAGTGACCTTGTTACAACAAGCAGACATGTACTAATGACATCTGCCAATGACACAAGATTGGGAGACATCATCAGTACAGAGGAGCACTGGACTATTATATAGGAAGATCTGGATGTCTTTAAAGATGGGAATGACAGAAATGGGATGAAATTTCATACTACAAAGTGTAAGGTCATGTGGTTAGGGTCTTATAATAACTCATCAGTTGGAAGTGACAGAGGAGGGGAGAGATCTGAGTGATCCTGGGCCACCAATGTGATCTGACTGTGAAATAGGCAAATTTGATCCTAGGATGTGTCAGGCATTTCCAGTAGACAGAGGAAGAA